CCTATTTGCAAATGACATGATTGTTTACATAGAAAATCCAAATGAATTTACAAAAACCTCCCAGAACTCACAAGTGAGAAAACATGCAGATGGCAAATGAGCACATGAGAAAATGCTCAACATTAGTCACTAGGGAAATGCAAATTAAAATCACCAGAGACCATTACCCATCTGTTAGAATGACTAAAATCAAAGAACTGACATACCAAGTGCTGACAAGGATGCAGGGTGCAGTCGTCCCTCCACATCCACAAGTTCTGCATCCATGGATTCAACCAACCAGACTGAAAATATTTGGAAAAAAGAAACCAATAAAAAAATACAAATATTTTTTTAAATATAAATATTTATTGTATTTATATTGTATTAGGTATTACAAGCAATCTAGAGATTACTTAAAGTATACAGGATGTGCATAGATTATATGCAAATACTACACCATTTTGTACAGTATAAGGGACTTGAGCATCAGACTTTGGTATATGTCCGTGTCCTGAAACGAATCCCCCACAGATACTGAGGGACAACTCTAACCCGAACACTGCTGGCAGAAATGTAAAATGGTACAGCCACTTAGGAAAACATTTTGGCTACTTATCATATGACCCAGCAGTCCTCCTCCTAAGCATTTTCCCAAGAGAAACAAAAACATGTTCACAAAAAAAGGCCATGCATGAATGTTTATGGTGGCTTGATTTATAATCACCAAAAGCTGGAAACAACTCAAATAATCTTCAACTGGGAATGGATAAACAAACATTGGTACATCCATACAGTAGAATACTATTCAGCAGGAAAAAGGAATATGCTGCTTATAAATGCAACAACTCAGATGCATTATGTTAAGTGAAAGAAGCTTATCCTCAAAAGGCTACATAATGTATGATTCCATTTATATGATATTCTGGAAAAAGCAAAACTAGAGACAGAAAATAGAGTAGTGATTGCCATTTGCAAACAATTTCTGGGATGGTCTATAGGCCACCCCTGGACCCCATCTATATACTACTCCATTTCTAAAGCAACCGACCCAGCTCCAGCTCCTTCTGAACCCTAATCAGATTTCCATTTAGTAGCATGCTGCTTGGCACGGGATTGGTCCCTGGTTAATGGACAGTGTGTTGATTTTCTCTCTGGTGTTGCTTCCAGGGCAAGCACCCACCTGGGTGCTGGGCGCATGGAATGGGATGGATGATGAAGTGTTGAGGCAGCCTGCCAGCGGCAATTGCCCTTTTCCCATGATCCCCCCAGGTCCATCAACTTCCCACCGCTGCCAGTTGGGAGAAGGATTTGGAAAAGGAGCCTAAAACAATTCAGGCAGGCTCTGCAAACCTCCACCTCCCGAATCAGAAGGCCGACCGCGGAGGAGCCCGGCCTGCTAGTGGAGGGCAGCGCCGGCGTTACCAGTTTCAGCCCCTCTCCCTTTTTCTTCACTGACGCTGCAGCCCTGGTCAGCACCGACCCAGAAGCTGCCCTCAGGGCGTTTACAGGCTTGCAGGGAACACAGGGAGAAGCGCCGTTCTCCAGGGTGCGGGGCGGCTCTCCAGGGAAGTGCGGGCTGCACGGGCGCGGCCGCCAGCGCGGGCGTGTCCCTGCAGACGCG